TACCTTCCAAAATCTTAGTTTTCACTTAATAAGATGTCTAGTGGTAGAAACAATAGGAATTTTTTGGCAAGAGAAATTGAAAATCAAACTTAAAACCAAAATATTTGGGTAATTTGATTAAATAGAAGAGGAAACTGAATTTTGTAAATGACATGGCTCTTTTCTCTTTCTCTATTTTTCATCTTTAGTCTTCCCTTTCACCATGTGGAAAAATCAATTCAAAAAAGGGTTACATATTCAAGAATATGAAAGAGCTCAACTATTATACTCTGATAAAATGTAAACTTTCTAAAACTGGTCCTATCAATTATTTCTCAGATGTAATACTGAAAATTTAGCCAACAAAAACATAATGGTAGACAGACAGGACTATATTGTATTAAAACGCTTGTAGTGGAAATAATCACCAATTGAAAAGACAGCTTCTCCAATGGGAGAAAACCTCTATAAACCTGATAGCTGGTAATTGCTAAAAATTCCTACAATGTAGCAGCAAAAATTAATCCAAATAAAAAATAGACAAAGAATATCAGTTTAAATTTTTCTAAAGAAGATGCACAAGTGGCCAACAGGCAAAGGAAAACATAGAAACATTACTATCCATTAGGAAAACACAAAGTAATGCCATGAGGTAATGTTACCTCTCATCTATTGTTAGTAAGGCTGAGTACTCTACAAGAAAACATATAATGATATTGTCTCTGTAGAAAATGGTATATAACACCCTTGAAACACTCAGTATAGAGATAGAGTGCCATTAAGTAGTCACTCCTCATAAGTAAATATTCAGAAAAGAATAAAGTCATGGTCAGTAAACAACATCTTAATTCCTATATTCATTCAGTTATTTCCAAGGATATACGTACTTGAGATAAACTTAGTTTCTAGTGACCTATAAATGACCATTTACAGCACATAGTATACAGTAGAATGCTACTTTCCATACTGTCTTTCTTCAAGGATTATCCCTCCATCACATCTATGAAATTTTATTTTCTTACAATGGATTTGTGAGATTCAGCAGGTTTCTGATTGTACTCTGATACAACTCTCTTGATTGTTGGATTTCCTTTTCCTCCTCAATCTGTTTAATGCTACTGTTGAAGACAATTTTTTAGGGGATTATAGGTCTTGTAGTAAGGAAGCTGCTTGTTTGTTTATAGGCTGCCCAGACTCGTGAAATAATCACACAGAAACTATATTATTTAATTCACTGTTTGGTCTATTAGCTCTAACTTCTTATCAGCTAACTCTTACATATTAATTTAACCCATTTCTGTGTATCACCAGATACTGTGGCTTACTGGGTAAATTTCCAGCATCTGTCTCTAGTGGAGCTACATGGCTTCTCCTCTAACTCTGCCTTCTTTCTCCCAGCACTTAGTATAGTTTTCCCCCAGCCTAGTTCTACTGTGCCCTATCAATAGGTCAGGGCAGATTCTTTATCCATTAACTAATAAAAGCAACACATATACAAAAGAACCTCCCACACCACGATCTCAAAATATTTTGATTTATACTGGAATCAATCTGAAGATTTTCATTTTTCTACTGCTTCAATATTTTTATTTTTAAAGTAAAAGTAGACCAGACTCTTCAGAGTTTGGCACATACAATGAGTCACTGTCTCTACAAGTATTATATTGCAGAGTCCTCAAGGTTTTCACATCTTTCAACCACAATGGATAAAGGATTTGTTGGGGGCCACACATTAAATACAAAACTTTAACATAAACAACAATAGTGTATGTGTAAAATTTTTCATAACATTCACCACACAGATAAGAAAAGACATGTTGATTGAGGGAGTCATTATGGGGCTAGCAAGAAACCTGGCACTAGAGAAATTCCCAGGAATTCACAAGCATGACCACAGTTAAGACCCTAAGCAATAGAGGAGAGGGTGCCAGAACTGGTCTTTCCCTGTAATCAGACTAATGATTATCTTAAATATCACCATAGAACCTTCATCCAACAACTAATGGAAATAGAGGCAGAGACCTGTAGCGGAGCACTGGGCTGAGCTCCTAAAGCCAAGTTGAGGAGAGGAAGAAGTGAAGAAATGAGCAAAGAGGTCAAGACCATCCATGATGGAGACACCCACTGAAACAGTTTACCTGGACTAATGGGAGCTCACCAACTCCAACTGGACAGAGAAGGAACCAACAGAGGACCAAACTAGACCCTCTGAAAGTGGGTTACAGTTGTCTGACTGGGGCAGACTACAGGGCCACTGGCATGGCACTAGGATTTATGCAAAATGAAAAAATATAGTTTTCTTTACAGGGCTGTGTTTGGCCAATAGTTTAAAGTGCATAGAACTGTCTGCCTTAATTTGTATCTGCTATAATTTGCAATTCATTTAAAATGCCGATGTAATTTTAACTATTATATCAATAAGCTGTTTTTTTGCCCTAGAGGTCTATGTTTAGCTTTTAAATGAGCAGCTAAGTCCACTAAAAGCAATAAATCTGGGAGAGGCAGGGAGGAGAGCAGAGAAAAATGTAGAGCTCAATAAAAGTCAATAAAAACAAACAAACATTATCAATGGCTTCTCAGACAGTCCCCGTGCCAGCCACATTCAGAGAATCCGGGCACATTCAGAGAATCCGGGCACATTCAGAGAATCTGGTTTGATCACATGCTCGTTCAGTCCCAGTCCAGCGGGCCTTGGTGAGCTCTCATTAGATCAGTCCCCTTGTATCAGTGGGTGAACGCACCCCTCACAGTCCTGCCTTTCTTGTTCATGTTCTCCCTCCTTCTTCTCCTCATTTGGACCTTGGGGGCTCAGTCCAATTTGGATGCTCACCTTCCTAGACCTGAAGGGAGGGGGGGGGAGGGACTTGAACTTCCCACAGGGCAGGAAACACTGACTGCTCTTAGGGCTGGAGAGGGAGGAGGAGAGAGAGTGGGGGGAATGGGAGGGTATTGGGAGGAGGGGCAGAAGTGGAAACTTTTATAAATTACTAAAAAAATAAAAATAAATAAACATTACAGTGAAAAACAGAAAACAAGCAAACAAACAAAAACAATAAATCTGTATGCTGTTTTTTGAACATTTTAAAGTTTTGGAGAAAAAATTGCTTCCAATACCATAAAAAATGATAACAAGTCATCATATCATGAATGATAAAATCTTTTCAATATTTTACTTTGACTTATTCATTTTACTTCCAGAAAACCAATGACGAAGTCAGTACCAACACTAAAAATGATTTTTTGGAAGTAACATGATTTAAACTCTTGACTCTTCAGAAATTCCCAATCTTGATGACAATTGGCATGATATTGTCCATTTTTGATACTTTTGTAAGTTTCCCAGACAATGATACTTCAACAACTGCTTTATCCTATATTAATTTATATCTTTTACTCAATATTATAAGGGCACCCCAGGGACTGTACTAGACACATTGACAATGAATGAAAGAATTGCTTCAACATTTTTGCTGCTCTGTGTAAGTCTCTAGATTTTTTTTGTGTGTTTTTTAATACTACTAGAGACTTTAGCTTTCAGTGACATTGTATGCATGATCAACACCTCTAATAAAAATGTCATGTTGAGGTATATTTGTGGCCTTAGAGCTGTTATCTGTCACCAAATCACACATTATAAAATTAGTGGCTCTATTCTCTATACTTCTTTTAATAGATTTTTCCAATTTCTGTCATTTGCCTGACTATGGACTGGCAAGGCAAAATGGATTTAGTAATAGATCCACTTTTTAAAGGCCCTCCTGACCATACATTGCTTAATTAACTCTGCATCAATAAATGACTTTGGGGTTGTGCCTTTGCTGTTAAATATCCAACAATGCAACTAATATAGTTGAGCTGTAACTTTTTAACAGAAAGTTTTTTTTCTGAGAAGACTATTTTGTCTACAATATTTTATCCAACAAACTTGGCAGCATGCTTTTGCATATAATGATGTTTCAAATTACAGTCTTTGAAAACTTGCTCATATTTTTATTGAATTAACCTGAATTCCTTTAGCCTTGACAAAAAGGTAATCTATCCACTTTTCATTTAACAATCTCTTTTCACCTGTAACATTTCTTTTGTGTGGTATGTTATTTTTTAGACATTCTCATAGTCATGCTGATATTAAAAAATAATAGACGAGGGACTGTATTTATTGTTTTATGAAAATTATTAAGAAGACTGAAAAGAACATTCATTCCATTCTGCAACTTAGATCGGTATGTAGCCCAAATCAAAGGCTCTATCTTGAAGTGAATTCAGTTGGTATATAAGACTGCCTCCTGTGTGAAGCCATATTTAATGATAAACTAGAGGGCTGGCAAGAAGGTGTAGCAGGAAAGATACTAGCTTCCAAATCCTACAACCTAAGTTTCATCAGTGGAAGCACATGGTGAAAGAAAAGAATTAATTCTGCAAGTTGTTTTCCAACATTGTCTCCTCTTCCAAAAATACATAAATAATTGAATTTTAAAAGTTTAAGTATTAATTCTTACTTGTCTAAATAACATTGATTATGATAGGTTAATATATAAGTGATAATTACTATTTTACTTACCAAGCTAACAACTAATAGTGGCAATTAAATTATCTGGTTTTGGAAGATAACATACCAGAATTTATATGCTCAATGATAAACCTAAAGCTATACTTATGTACAAATAGCAAGAGCATGCATACTCTTATTTTGTGTGACATTATGACAGAACAATGCCATTTTCAAAGTTCCCACTCAAGACACCATCAAAAATGCAAATGATGTTTTTCATAAGTTGACTTTATGTTGGACCATATTGATGTGATTCTTTCTGTATGCTGTGAATATGTTTTATTGTCATTGGTTAATAAAGAAGCTTCTTTGGCCCATGACAGGGCAGAAAATAGGTAGGCAGGAAAACTAAAATAAATGCAGGGGAAAAAAAGGCAGAGTCAGCAGATGCCATACAGCTGCCAAAGGAGAAAGACACTGGAAACTTAACTGTAGACCACATGGTGATAAATAGATGAACAGACATGGGTTAATTTAAGATGTAAGAATTAGACCCTAGGGTATTCACAAAGGTCTGCATCTCACCCCTGAGGTGGGGGACCAGGTGCAGGGTGAACTTTCTGGATCTTTTAGTCAGACATGGTGCAGACATCTTCCAGCTGCTTGCCTGAAAAGATTGACCTGTGCTGGTCAGAGGGTGTGCCGTTTTGTCCTGAATCTTTGCCTTGACGTTCTCAATAGTGTCTCTGGGTTCAACCTCCAGAGTGATGGTCTTGCTTGTCAGGGTCTGTATAAAGATCTGCATCCCACCCCTGAGGACCAGGTGCATGGTGGACCCTTTCTGGGTATTGTAGACAGACAGGATGCGGCCATCTTCCAGCTGCTTGCCTACAAATGGACCCAGTGACACCACCAAGAATATCAAACAGGAAAATGGATGCACTTTCCTCAGCATACTTTTCCTCTGTCTAGAAAGAACACACCTTCTGCTTTCTCTAGGGCTTGAGGACTTGAAGGGTGACATCTTAGTATCCCCTATCTTTTAAGCTGTTAACCAGGTTCATTGCACTTTGAAGAAAGTTCTTGAATACCCCCAACACACATGAACACAAAACGAGTTAGTTAGGAATATACTTAAGCTATTAGCCAAGCAGTGTTGTGATTAATATAGTTTCTATGTGATTATTCAAGTCTGGGTGGCCGGGAATAAAAGAGTAGTTTCTTTTTACACCACATTCATAACTATATTAGTCGGGGTTCTATAGAGGTACAGAACTTCGGGAATGTATATGGAATTAGAATGGATTATGAGTAGTTTATGGCCCAGCTAGTCCAACAATGGCTGTCTACCAACGGAAGGTTCAAGAATCCAGTAGTTTCTTACTCCACAAGGCTGTTTGTCTCAACTGGTATTCAGTACATTCCAGAATGCCAAAGAAGTAACCTCTAATGCCAGAGAAGAAACAGACTCGCAGCCAGAGAGAAGAAGCAAGCAAAGGACACATTCATTCTTCTTTCATGCGCTTTATATGACAGCCAGCAGAAGGCATGGCCCAGATTAAAGGTGGATCTTCTCACCTCCAAAGATCTGGATTAAAGGTTTATCTTCTCACCACAATAGATCCAGATTAAAAATGGGTCTTCCTACTTCAAATGATTTAATTAAGGAAAAATAATCCCTCACAGGTGTATCCAGCCACTTAGGTTTTGTTAATTCCAGATGGAGCTAAATTAACAACCAAGAAAATCTATCATATTGACTATCCTTGGGTTACTTGTGGCTCACTGGCTATAGGTTGGACACCCCTAATTTAGAGTTTTTAAGATGAGACCACAAACTCCAAATCTACACTCAAATAAAACTGCTCTATTATTTCCTTCCATAAACACACAGATGTTTGTTTCTGAGTTCATAACAAAAACCTCAATGCTGAGTAACATGAGACACACACTGAAATCAGTTAGTGACACCAGTTCTCATCACAATTAGCTATGTTAAAGTGAGCATCCCTGTGGCCCACTGGCTATTAGATGCATAGCAGTATTTTTGGCTAGGGTGACCTAGAAAACATCAGTGTTATGACAATCAAGTGTGTGCTGCTCCAAATGTGGAAAAAGGTTCACAGTAATCAAACTCTCACCAGTCTGTGTTTATCTGTGTCTACTAAATGGTTTGCATTTACCCACTTATGTTAGTCATACATACCATCTTGGCCCATTTCCTCCCCTGCCTATCAGCTTGCCTCTCCGGTTTGAGAGCTCATTTTTCTATCCCTCTGTGTGAATCACCTTGCTCATAAACATTCTTAATCATCTTTGAAGACTGACTTTTGTCACAAATTCCACAAGATTTGTTCCCTCACTACCAAAATGATTTGCATCTCTTCCTCAAATGTCTTCTGGCTATCACCAGAGATACAGTGCCAGTCGGCAATGGTGACAGCACATTGCCATGTCTGACAGCTCAACACGTGGTCTCCTTAAACAGAAGAACTTTGACCTATTTTATTTGCTTATTCGACTCCACTCACATTACCAGAAGAACTTAGACAGTTTTAGACAGAAAAGCAAACTTAAAACTTCGTGGAAGAGAAGAAACTGTCAAAACCAACAAGCAGATAGCCAATAATGGCAATTAAGAAACATAGAATGGGAATTATGAAGTAGGAAATTTGTATCCCAAAGAAGAAAAATCATGGTGTTTCTTGCCATAGAGGTTAAGTACTCTGACTTTTACTTCAGGAAGAATTTAGTCATTATTTGGTGAAGTTGCCCTGTAGGTAATAGTCATAGAGAAAATCTTGGTGACTGGACATCTTGTTTTCAGAAACATGATTAAGAAAGTCAAACTTGAATAACAATAAGAAAACCATTTCTGTCACACTGAATCAATGCTTTTCAACTTTTTCTCAAGTGTACATTGTGTGTGTGAGTGTGGGGGTGGGGGGTGCAGCTGCACATGCCAGGACAGTGTTTAGGTCAGTAGATAAGTTTGCAGTGTTTGCTCTCTCTTTTCACATTTTTATGGATTCTAATGGTTGAATTTAAGTTACCAGGCTGATGCACCAAGTTGCCTTTGGATGCTGAGACACCTCACCAACACAACATGAGGATGTTTGGAGGAGAAAAAAAAAATCTGACCCTAAATTCAACCCAAAGATTCTTCGATGATTGATCTTAGCCACTTTGTAGTTTTACAAAACATTCAAGTTAATTCTTTTATTTATTTGAAGTTGAGAACTAAGCACTAGGAAGTGATTCTCAGAGTGTGGTTCCCACCAATGCAACATCAAGGAACACAGTTCCTGAAATTTATGCACATACCCTACAAGAACTCAGTCAGACACACTAGGGTTTAGCGTATCAAGTTCTTCAGATCTTTCAGACTAATGTCACAGTTTAAGATCCATTGTATGAGTGTGGGCTTAGTGGTGTAGTGGTGGTGGTATTGCTTCAGCAGCTTTTATGTAAAAGGTGTATTAAAAAATGAAGGTGAGATCAAACTTCTCTGCAGCTGAGCAGTAGAGGGTAGTAGAACCACTTCTTCCTGTTTTTTTCCTCTCTGATTTCATTTGTCTGTGACTTTTCTGGCTTTCTCAGCTCTGTTCTGCTTATTCAAATGCAGATGGTCCCTGACTTATGATGCCTTAAGATCTTTCAGCTTTACAATGGTGTGGGAGCATGCTCATTCAACCTTTCTGGTTTTCATTTGCAGTATAGTTAACAACATGGCAATACCAGCACTTCATTGTAAAATAGGCTTTTGTTAGATGATTTTGCCCAACTATGAGCTAACGTTAAGTGTTCTGTGAGTGTTTAAAGCAGGCTAAGCTAAGCTATGATGTTCAGTAGGTGATGCATGTTAAATAAATTTTCTCCTGACAACATTTTCACTTTACAATGGATTTATCAGGTCATAAACCTATATTGAGGAAAGAAATGTCTTTGCATTAATTGTTTTTCTGAAACATCACAGGCAAGTTGAGATGCCACAACCACCTTGACCCTGGCTACAAACTGCCTTTACTTTTAGCAGAGGGTAGGCAAGTACAGAGAGAAAGACTAACTCTCCTTGTGCTGCCTAGCTTGTGGGCAGAACATCTGGACAGCATCCAACTTTGTTTCTATATTATAACTCTTTGGTTCAAAACTTCCATTTACTTCAGATAAACTGTCAAACCAAACTTGAAGAGGAAAATTAACTACCAACGGCTTTCTGAAAGTCAGCAAAATAGATTCTGAGTCCATTACACTTTCCTTAACAATAGAACCTTCTGAACTAGTACAAATGGAGAGGAGCTTTAGATTATCTGTCTTCCTATGTATTTTTAAATATATTTTAACTAGAGTCTGATGCCACAACTGGCCATAATTATGCACTAATAATGTACTAAATTTGATTCAAAGGAACAAAGACGTTTTGAGTTCTTCAAGGACAAAAATGTCTTCAGACCTCAAAAAAAAATACACATTCTCTGCATTCCCATTATTCAAAAATATCTAACACGTATTTCTTTCCTATTTGAAGGGAAATCCTCCCAGGCTAAGGAATTTTTCCAAGATTTGGGAAGGAAAGAATTTTTGTTTAAATATGATGCCTTAAAATAGAAGAACATCAGAATGAGGCTACCTTCTTAGTTATAAATTCTCTTTTACACAGAATTGACCTTCTCCAAATATAATCACTGATACACTTTTCTTTTTCTTAAGCAAATACCTTAGGAAAACTTTGCATGCTTGGCACTATTCGAAACCCACAATTTTGCTAGCATGTAAATGCTCTGGCAAGCTCTTCTGTCTAGACAGCCTTCCACTCCTTGGGTGTTTCATAAAAATCGTGCTTTGTAAATATGCTTAGCCACTTGTGTGTTTTCTTGAGAAATTCCTTCCACACAAACACATTGCTTATTCCTTTTCTAGCCACGCCCTCTTGGCTAGCCTTAAGCTGCTAACACATTTGACTTCCTCTGACAAATGCTCTTTACTCCTTTGTTCATTCCCTTGCATAATGCCATGCAAGAGTCTCTCTTTCTCTAAATTATCTCTCATCATCGGTTAAAGAGAATTACAAAATGAAAGGAATGAACACAAAGTCCACCATGCTTCCTTTCCCACTTATTACATAGCATTTCTCAATTTTCTCTGGATGCTTCTGTTGACATTTGTCCTATTTGGAAGAGGCTGTAATAGAATCCTAGTGTGGTATCAAGATAAAAGAGAGAGAAATATATTTATTGGCCCTGATATAGTTTACAATATCTAACCAGCCTAGTTCAACAATACTAATGCTTTAGTAACGTATAGTAAGACAACTCCACTGTCGTTACATATTGTGTCTTCCCCAAGTGATTGAAGATTCTTGATGACCAAAGTTATGTTTATCTCTTCTAACTCTGTCCTCACAGGGAATGGCAAAGAACCCCAGTGGTTGTCTATTTAATGTGCTATTAAGTGTATCAATTTACATGGGAATGATACTTAGTTTTTTGTTTATCTGCACTGTATACTTCAAAACACAGTCAAGTTCCACGTTTTGAAGATGACAGATTTCTTCAGTGCCATGATCTGGCAGAGAAGTCTGTATTGATACATTTTGATAAATTGAATCACTAGAAAAGAGAGGAAGAAGGATAAAGAGAAGAAAGGTGGAAGAAAGAAAAGAACGGGTGAAGAAAAAGACGAGAAAGAAGGAAGGAAGAAAAGGAAGCAGGGTAGAAAGAAAGGAGGGAGAGAGAAAAGGAAAAAAGGAGAGAGGGAAGAAGGAAGAAAAAAGAAGAAAAAAGAGGAGAGGAGGAAGGAAAAAAGAAGAGAGGCAAGAAGGAAGGAAGGAAAAAAGGAAGGAAAGAAGGGAGAGGTGGAAGGAGAAAGGAAAAAGGAAGAGAGGGAAG